GGTGGTGCTGTTTCAAAGTGTTGCACGGAGCAAATTTGACGGTTTTTTTTTTTTGACTCAGAAATTTTTAACACACCTATAAGAGTGTGAATTATGTGATATCAAATCATATACAAGACATAAGCTGTTACTTATGTTTTAGGTACATCTCCTGATTTTAAATTTTAAGGAACTTCGAACAAAAAAGTAATAGTGACTTTGAACTTTATAAACCTGTTGTTTCACGTCAGCACAAAATTTCTAAACATATATCGATCAAAGTCAAACTGATGAAGCAAAATTCAAAATACCTGAAGTGTATTTTAGAAAATCTTATTTTAAAGTTTGACTAAATAATGGCGTCTTTAAAAGACCGATTCGACGATTCCACGAAATTATTTAAACTAAGTAAACTGATAAGTGATGGAAACATGTTTTTACGACTACGTTGAAGAGTTTTTGAAATTAGATTGGATTCATGGACTCATTCTAGATTTTGTGTGCTTTATTTGCTTATTAAGGAGGCTTCCTCGTGACAGTTTCCGACCAAGACCAGATGAATTTAATAGTTATAAATCTGGTAGGGGGCAAATGGGGGGCGGTGGGGGGTTTGTGTGGAATACCCCACTGAGTTAACTATATAATATAGGAAGATATATATATACGTAACGTAACGTACTACAAAGTGTGAATAAATAATTTTTTTCACATTCTACGAGCATACGGTCTGATAATAAAAATTTCAATCTCAGTTTGTGATCTTGACAGTAGAACAGCTTTAATTGGTTAATCTCGTTACTCTATTGATAGAAAAAAAATGTATAGAAAAATCTCATTCGACGCTTAAGCTCTGCAAATTCGATACGCACTAGTTGCCAATCTTAAAAATTGCAGATTTCCTCTTGAAAATTCCTTTTGGATTGAGTCGAGTTGCACTTATTACAATATTTTACGCAGGTAATGAGGAAAAAAAGGTTATGAGTTTCGTGTACTCCCGAACCTGATAACGACTTTGACGAGACGACAAGAAAAGACTCAAGATTACGTGTATAATCTTATCTCACTTATGCCTACTTGTGAAATAAATACGCATAAATTGTAAATGTGCGTAGCTCATAAGACATACGTGTGTGATTCCTTTGCTGCTTGTCGCACTATTGGCGTCAAGACCATTTCATTTGTTAATCAATTGACGGTAGCGATGATTTTTTGGGTTATTTTCTTTTGATAATAAATAACTTTCTTTCTTTCTTATTCTTGAAAATGTTTTTCGTAAACAGCTTATCCACGTACGATTAAATCAACATACGTCATTCAACTGGATCGTCAGGTGTTTCAAGAGCATTTTTTACATCATTTTACAAGAAAATCACATTTTGTTTCAATTTCATTTTATTTGTACAGAATTTGAGATACAAAACTTTCCAAGAGCCTTACAAAGTTTCGAAAAATCGTCCAATCTAAATATATCATACAAATATCGGATTAGATGCAGCAACCATGAGATAATTGCACGTGACATGAATATAAAAACGATCGTGCACGTGAAGAAATAGACATACTTATGAATCTGTATTGTAATTTTTTGAACAGCTTACATATTATATACATATATATTTGTGGCGGACGTACATTGTTTGAAAAAACGTGTAAAGTATAGTCGTGATCGTATGTTTGTTCACCACAGGAATTACTTGTCCATTAATGGGGTATTGATTAAAAATCTCGTTAAAAATAGAAAACTTGTCTAAACCTTGTATTTTTTAACAAGTACCTATAAGCGTTAAAACAAAACAAAAAAAAGTATAAAAATCCAAATCGGTTAAAATTGTTAAAATCTTCTCGGTCCAAAATTGTTAGCTCTTCCAAATGTTGAAAACAAACAATCCAATCGTCGTACGAGTACATGCAAAAAACGTCACTCGATTGTCGCGTTACAGCAACCGTTGGATTACATGTTCAGGTAATTTTTCTTGATCGTCTTGGCGAGGAACAGGGCGAACCAAATACCCAGCACCTACGAGAGAATTTTTTTTTTGTAACAACTATAAGCAAACACGAGTTTTCGGGGTATGGGGAAGAAAAAAAAAGTCACCTGACAAAAAGCTATGCCCAATCCAACTCCGCCCAATTGCAAGGCGTGCCCTCGAACCTCATGGATGATCTTGTCCACGCAGCCAACTCCGTGGATAGCCGTGGTGTTGGTGCCTATGGCGCAGGTGAAATTTCCAGTGAGCCCATCCTCGATCTGGCAACAAGTCAGGGGCAGTGCGTTGCTCTCCACCCAATCTTTACGCTGGGCCTTTTCCCAAGCTTTGATCCAATCTTTGGATTCGTGGATACCGCAGCACTTGAACTGTACACCAACGACGACACATTTAAACGAGGAGGAAGAAAGACATTTTTTTTTTCTTTTTTTTCTTTTCTAGTGAAATATAAATACATACGTCTCGCTGAATCCTGTCCCAAAACTCATAAATTTCAGAGTTGTTGGTGTAACTGGGCATTTTTTCTTTCATGCTGTGTTCGACCACTTCACTGGCGTTGCCTCTGAGAACGTAGCCCGAGATCCCGGCCGCCAACTCGAGGACGAAGATCAATGTCATAAAAGCTGCAAACTATAATTTAAAAAAATGGGGGAGGGCATTAGAAAACATTTTATGGATTTCGTAAGCGTGTTTTCGTTGATAAAGTATATGTACCGTGAGGATCATACAGTAGTTTTCTCTCATGGCGCCGTAGCACCCGAAGAAGGCTATGACGAAGATGATTATGCCGATCGTCACCAGTAGTGTCGGGATGGAGAAAAATTGGCCATCGAGGAGATGGTGGTACGGAGAGTAAGAGCTCGTCACTGAAGATCCTATTGCTATCAATACTATACCGGTGATCTAAAAACACGAGTAAACAAATAAACTCTCAGTCTACTGTTGTAATTATTAGTAGTGCCAATTAATTTTGTAAAAAATTTCATTCAATGTATAGTTATTAATTAAAGACGAAAAAATTTTCGACTATTTAAAAATTTAAATATTTTTATAACTTGTAGCAGGGGTTTAATCTTGTATGTCTTTGATGTTGTTCTTTATCGAGGCAATCTTCAATATAATATGTTATAAGTCTTCACTCGCGTGTATAACCAAGTAGATATATACCTACAGCACTACATGTGTATGTATTAGATGTCAGTCATTTTTCCGGCTTCGTTCGTTCTACTCTTATTTTATTATTGTGTTTGTTGTTACTTTGAACTCGCATGACCCTAATGCATGTAATAAATACGGAATACTTTATTGTAATACACGTAAGTAGTCGATGCTTGAAAAATGTATTTTTTACAATTTATTTTAGAATTTATGGAGATCACTTTATTGTTGTAAAATTTTTCGATAAAACTTTTTTACATAAGTTATTTTTTTTAACACGTTGGAATGCTCAATTTTTTTATTAAAAATATAGATTTTAAAGTTTAAACGGTATTCATTTAAAATAATTAATAATTATAATTGTAATAATACATTTTTGATAACGTCACATTTATTTGTCCAAATAAATGGCATTTTAAATAATAAAATTATTAAATAAATGATCCAATTGTGAAATAATTGAAATTTAAATAACTGAAAGTCGTGTATTTGACGTGGTGACGGCATCAAGATATTTCGCGCAGCGGTCGTTAAGAGCTGCGGTGTCCGAGCGGTTAAGGAGATGGACTTGAAATCCATTGGGTTCTACCCGCACAGGTTCGAATCCTGTCCGCAGCGAATTTTTTTTTCAATTTTTTTTATAAACACAACAATTATCTTAAAACGAGTAGTAAATTATTTTTCAATTTTTCCCGAATATTTTTCGTAAATAACGTTATCGTAAAATATTTTGCTGCAAAACGTATCGACTATCAACAAGAAAAATCTAAATAATAAATATTATCAAATAAATTAATATCGGAGCTCTTTAAATGACCTCTTTGTTGAGGACGATTATAAAATAACAAGTAATTCAATTTAATCCCAATATATCAGTCACGTTAGATATTCATTTGTAAGTGAGCTATTTTATCTTTTATTCGTTGATAGCTCCATTACAATAACTACTATCATAATGTACACTTTTTCATTTTTGAGATAAAACATATCTGTATTAAATGTAATTCTTATAAAAACTACAAGTTTGTTCCATCGAAATTGATTAACCGAGTTATTTTTGGAGACCCATGTAAGTGCACAGTGTATGTCTATACTGTTTAACGAATCGAAGCGTGAAGTTATTAATAGAATGTTATTGTTTTTCACGCTTGGACTAAGGTACAAGTAACCGATGAGCAAGTAAATCACTTTACTCATGCATCAGAAAAATATGAATCAATACAAGTTTGTACAATTGACGCAACAAGTGAAAAAGTAAAGTTTTAATCACATTTCATCATATTCTTACAATGCACGCGGCGACGATAACGAAATAATTGTCTGAAGAGCTCGTTAGTCCCACTGTAATCGATTTTCCAAAAACCAATTTGAAATTTTATTCCAATCACGCCTGCCGAAAACAAAGTTTATCAACAAACGTAAATCTTTGGCGTGAATATTCATTGCGATAACAAACAACAGTTTTACTTTACAGGCCGAGCAGAGCCCCAATGGACTAGAAAAACGCACGGTCTCCCCTCTGAATTATTTAAAAGCCCTTCTTCCCAATCGATGTACGTCATTTTTTTCCGTCGGCACTAGCTCCGCCTGTCGTTAGTCTTTCGGCCATTTGAAGCTGTTTCAACGGGTTTTTTTTTTTTTTTTTTTTTTCTTTTTTCTTTCGGTTTCGCGTTATTGGCACCCGTTGGCGCAAATTACGCAAGCGATACAACCACCGCGATTACAAAGGGAAAACAAACTGTACCACCCAAACACTTTGGTTGCGGTAAAGGCGTAGATGTACGCGAACCCAAAAGTCTCTTGATTGATAAACAAAGGGTCACGTCATCAACATATGACACACGCACACCCACGGCGTATACGCGCGAGATCGATCGCTTGAAAAAAAAAAAAGAAGAAAAAAAACACGCGATCGACGCTCCTTTTCCCTCGTTAAACCAAAAGAAAATACGTTGAACTCACCACAAACAAAAAGTTCAACACGAAGAGCAGGTACTTGATGTACTGCGGATTTCCAAAGTTGTTGCTGAACCAGCCCATTGTCGCTCCGGTTGGCCGTGCACCGAGAGTGCAGTACTTTCCACAGCAGCGAGGAAAAAAAAAAAAAAAAGCCAAAATAGGAAAAATACACGGAGCGAAGAAATTAGCTAGCCGTTGAGTATCGTACGACACGCGGTCTTATCTATACGCGAGAGAGCACCTGCACTTACTACTTGTGTATATAAGCGAGAGCTCCTAAATTGGCTACTATCGGCCTGAGTATGGTGAACGTCGTCTCGTAGCGAGCGCGCTAAAAGCTAAACCACCACTATAGCACTACACGAGCGTGCGCAAGCGCGTATTTTTATCACTGCACCGGCTGGATGATAGCAGCGTCGTGCTCTGTATCATGTACGTACATTGCGTGAAACTTTGTTGTTTAATGACTATAGGGTGTCCTCGTCGTTCGATCGTGTATACCTATATTTGAGGATTCGAGGTGTGTGCCATTGTGTGTCATCATTAAGAGGTGCCAAGCATGACTTACGAATATAATATGTCTTCGATCATTCAAAAAATGGCACGAGAAAGCGGATGCTCGTTTCAGAGAGAGAGAGAGAGAGAGAGAGTTTATGAGTTGGATGGCGGTGAAAGCCCACAATTTGCTAACACCTCGGAGGACGTGGGTGGATTGATCATTGATTTATGGGTCCGTTTGCTATTACTGATGGTGTCATCAGTTGTCGTTTTAACGCTTTTTTAGCGGGCTTTGCCAATCTCTATACCGATCCCCGATTTCAGCGCGTTTTTAAACACGCGTGTCTGGAAAAAAAAAAAAAAATCGTATTATAGTACAAATTCCCCTTACATTAATTTTATCTGAAATGAAGGAAAGAGAGAGAGGGAGGAGCTCGGCAATTTTCATCGTCACATCGGATACGAGTAGCCGTACGAGATAAGAGCTCCGATAGCGAGTCGATTGTGAGTTTTTTTTAATTGTGGGCATATTTTTTATTTTTTTTTATTTTTTTTTTTTTTCTTATGACATAGTTTTCTTTCATTTTTGGCCTATTATTGACGTTGGGCTGTGGAGCTGGATTTGCATTTTTAAACCAAGTGGAATCAATGAACTGGATCATTTTTTACCTTCAACCTGCGTGCGAATGTCGAAATTACGAAATTATTAAAGCATTTGATCGATCGCTCGGGGCAAGTGTAGGGATAGTACTATAAAGTTAAAAGCAGTAAACTGTCAAAAGGTCATTTGAAATAACGTCACTGGAACAAGTTGTTCCATAAATTATTATGTTTGATAAATACACATATTTAATGATGTTTATGTTAATGTTGCAATACATTGACTTACTTTTTACTGCTAGATTACAGACTGCAATTTTCACGCTTACCTTGAGCGAGTAATATCATTCTCTAACGCATCTCCTGTAATATAACATACAGCTCACATTTGAGATGTCGAACCTGTTACACAGATGTCACTGTTTTGTATGTATTCTTTAAATTCGTTACATTTTCATACTATATTGTATACAAATAAGATGAATAAGATTATACATAAAATATTATAAACGATACAAAAAAACTACAAATAAAACATAAATATTATTACTTCTTTTTTGTTTTATTTTATTTTATCAATACATGTATTAGATTTGCCAAAAGAATTTATTCTTTCATATGTATATATAGTACGTATAAATTAAGCCACGTAATTGTTGTTTATCATCAATTTTTCAACAAAATTCCGGTACTTTTTCAATTTTTTTTAACTCCCCTATTACTTATGGATACATACAAGTACAAAGTAATATCGCGGTACGTTTTACTTCAGCCACCTGTCGTAAGTTTCATATTCGTCGTAGAATCAAGCATAAAAATTGGCAAAGGGATGGAACAAAGAGTTTTCAGTTGATTAAAAAAGAAAAATGGATAAAGTAACGCTTGATTAGCCCAACTTTTTTCTATGGCTTTGAAATATTTTCATTATGTTGTATTAGGAATAAGTATGAAAAAGCAAATTAAATTCTTTCCAACTCCCAGTGCAATCCTCGACATTCTCGTCCTTTGGCGAAACATTAATTACGGCGTGGTATGCGTCAAAAGACTTTATATATGCGTACACAAATACCAAAAATACTTTCATCAAACGAATAACTCCGTCTTCTCCCGTCACTCAGCGACTTAATGATTTTTCCGTTTCCTTCGAAAATTGTCGTCAAAAGATAAGTAGTTGCATGATAATGGTATGCTCAGTTAGAGTATTAAATGAGTAGTTGCTCTAACAGATTGAACAAACAAATAGTCTTTCGATCCATTCAGACTCACGGGCTTTTAAGTTAAGGTCCGAATGTCCAAAAAACATTTTATTTTAAAATCGAGATATCTCATCTTTTAAGATCTCAAAATCAAGACAATACACTTACCTTCTTCCTCTTCAGGCATGCGAATTTTACTTATCTTAACTGTGCTGGAGGGCGAGAGGGTATATACGTGGGTATCTGTCGAGACGTCCGGGAATTCCCATCAGACTGTCGAGCTTTCCTTATAGTCATCGGTTTTGTTGGGTACGGGTATACTATTGATAATCAGTTGTTGAAAAACAAAAATCGAGATTTCGCATTCTCAGTATGACAAATTACATATAGCTTTTTTTTTAATATCATAAAAAATAAACGTATGTTCGATTTTCTTTCATACGTGCATCGTTTATTATTCAGCACGAGTATCATCGATCAGAAAAACAATATTTGTGAACGGAAAAATATTTACCGAAACAGCCTAAACTGTATCCGAAGTACAATTATAAGTAACGTATCAATAATTGTGACAACTGCAATGTTAATGAAAAAATGAAATCCATAACTGACGTAAAAAGAAAAAAAAAATCATAATCGCGTTTGATCATAAATCGTGCCGTCGTGTGCATTGTGCGCTACTTTACGTGAAGTTACATTAATCGATACCTACTTCTACGTATGCGTGGGTAGACACATGTTTTAACCATAGGCTTTGTGCAGTAGCACAGGGATGGGTATAAGCTAGAAAAAAATTATATAAAATTCGCGCAATGATTTAAGTATGTTAGACTTTTGCAAAATTCAGAAAAAATATTCATACCATTTTGTGTTGTCTTCAAAATAAAAGCAGTATCTTATATAATAAAAAAAAACAATTCATTTGTTAATAATGACATGTGTAGTTGAACAAAAACAAGGTGAACGCATGAAGAAGTTTTAGTTCAAAATCTTGTACATTTCGTTCTTGCCTTGAAAATAATACAGAAACGAGTTAGTGCTTCATTTTGTTTTGCTAAGGTAAAGTTACTTTTAAATAATTTATAAAGTAAATCGCCGGAGTTTAACAATAAAGATTATAAGTAATATACGAAAATAGGATTTTCATCTGTTGTAAATTTTTTTTTCTAAATACATTTGTCATACAGCATGTTGAGATATTGTTTTAAATAGAAACGATCCTATGTACAATAATTTCGAGGTACTTAAACATATAACTTTCAGCTACTTAAAATTAAAAACCACACGTTTTACGGAATTTGGGTAATTTTTGTATGCTACTACTTTTTTTGATGTATAAAAAAGTGAGATAAATACATTTATTTGATTATTTACGGTGAAACAAAAGAATGACTGTGTACTTAATATATGTGACCAGATCAAGCTGAATACAATGATCCGATTTTTTTTCATACACATGCATATACAAATATTTGCGAATCCTTTGATTCTTCTGCTCTTCGTGCTATAGCTATAGTATACGCCATATAGTGCGAGTGGGTGGTGGGAGGCGACGATCCCTTGGTGGGGGGGGGGGAAGAGCAGAGCGAACCTGCAGAGTCTGCTGCGGAGTTGCAATTGGTCAGTTGCGGTTGCGCAGTCATCTGAAAGCAAGCTTGGTCAGTTTGTTTGCATACGTCGTAGGTTGTTGTACTCACTGTGTGTACTTGATATGTGCAGTGTATGTGGTACCGCGCGAAGCTGCTGACCATCACTGACAGATATCCATGCACTCCGCATAGATCGAAGATCGCCAATAAGCCATTCTTACACAGTGTTTTCTTTTTTCCTTTCGCCGACTAGGGTGTGCAAAAAAGTGATCGACAAGCCTGTTTCGTGTGCACGCGCGTTGTCCTTGTCTCGAAGGATATACACACTGCAAATTACATATAGGTACAACCAGTGCGCGCTCGCGAAGGGCATAATTTTGTTACTGAGTTGTTTGTAAGCAAACTAAAGTTGAAAAAATGGTGTCCGGCGGCATGGCGTGCGTTAAATACGTGCTGTTCCTCTTCAACCTGATATTCGCGGTAAGTAGAATTCAAGTTGCTGTTATCGGTATATATTATACAAGCGTATCGAAAGTAAAGTCGCCCTTTCGTTGTTTTGATTCCGCGTCCTCGTCCTGTGCCCCGTTCCTTTGTGTCCTTTCTCTCGTGGCCTTTAATAAGCGTATCGTCTCCGATCAATCTTCCTAGTATTTGCCCAGTCCCTCGGGACACAGCTATATTTTCTTATTTTTTCCGGGAAATTCTAGTGAATACGTATCATTTTTGAGCACTGCTAATTTTGTTCTTCAATTAATTATTTATTGTACGTGATTCAAAAATAGATTTTCCTCGCCGTCTTGGTAACTCTCGTAACTCACGATACCTGTCAAAGTGGAATCTGTTACCAGGGGTTATGATCTTCTTCGATGGTGCAACGCGAGAAAATTAAAGATCTGCAAAAACAAAACAAAACCTCGCACACACATCCGCGCGTTCGTGTAAAATGCGCAGTATTTGGCCCGTAAGATAGAGTGAGAAAGGGGAGACTCAGAGCTTGCGCAGTGGTAACCGTCATTCGTCACGGGGTTGAAAACTCGCCGGATCGCCATGCCCTACGTCCTGCAGGACTTTATATTCATCCCTAAATAAAATGCGATTCTTTGAGATGTAGGGTAGCTAACCAAGCGATTTAAATCCCTCTTAGTACTGTTATGGGCTGTTAAATGAATATGTGTTGTATGTAGACGGCGAATAAGTGTCTATTGTTGTCTTCGTCGTCGAGACCGGTGTGTTGTACGACTGGTTACCATAGGTTTCTCACGTCATCCACTTTTTTCTCTCCATCATATATCTGTATAAGTAGTTTGGGATACTTGTATTCTCTTTTGCTGATGTATGCGTCGTCGTCGTCGTCGTCGCAGTCGGCGTTCGATAATCCCTGACGCGCGAGGGAGGTGTGCATGTGTTACGCGATACCTACATATTCGCTACTTATTGGACGTGTACGTGCAAGAGAGGGAAAAAAGAGGGTGTCAAGACAAAGCGGCGTCGCTGCCGGGTATACATAAATGCAACGACGTATACTGTCCTGACTAGGCTTTAGACAATTGCTCGATCTCTCCACGATAGGATTCAGAGATGTGTATTATGATAGTATAACAGACGTGTAATGATAAATGACCAAGGTTTTATGTACATTTTCCGTTCCAACATGGTGATACTTTATGTTCGAAAGAAAAATTGCCATTTACGTCAAGCAGAACTTTTGATGATAAAAATAATTGTAAGCTGAATAAAAAAGTAAATACATACTCGTGAGTGTCTTGTCTTACCGAAATGAGCTTGCATCTACTTACATGCAACCGCAAAGTGTATGACAGCAAAGCTTTGAAGCTCAAAGTCATGTATCGTGTACTTGTCCATTAGATGGCACTTGAAAGGAAGCCCTTCCACCACTTTCCAACTAAAGCTTCGCTCAATCACATTATTTTCTAATACCTGCATCGTTGTTGACTTGTAAACGGTCATTTATGAATTGAATGCTCAAAATTATTACTATTGCACTATTCAAGACTTTTAATAACATTCCTCCCGTAAACCTCGTATATATTTACGTCTCTGCAGTTCTGGTGGCTTTTTTTTCGCTGTTATGGCAACTAAATGAGCCACTATATTAATAGTATAATAATTTTGCTGTTTTCATTCCAAACATACACTTCCGCAAAAACCATACTCTTAAAGTACAAGTAACAAGAACAGCAGCTGAGCGAAGCTTGCTCCTATTAGGTTAACGTCGCTTATACACGCGTCTACTTAAAGTACGAGATGATCTACTTACTGCAGGCAATCTATAGGAACATCACCATCGCGCTTCTTTTACGTTTACGTTCGAGCTTACGCTCAACCTAATCAACGTAAAAGCACGCGTATGTACCTTAACTATCGTTAAACAGGCTCCGTTAAAAAAAAAAATAAATAATAATAATTTCATTATGAAAAAAAAATTCTAGACCTTATATTCATAGCTGTTAAATCTAATCTTCTTATCCCAAACAATCATTGATTGTATGAATAGCCGATTCCAGTTATTTTTATGTTAATTCTAATCCTCGCACATGGACAAAAGCAGTGTAACTCGCGCCTATGTACAAGTGTCCCATACACTCTTTCAGGTACATTTATTTTGCTGCAATTGCTTCGTCCGTAGTTGAGAAATTGCAGTTTGCTGTTTACAGGTGCCCCCATATAGATCGATGTTCTTGTGCTTTCGTCGGGTGTGCAGTAAAAGTAGCACCTACAGCAATGTGGAACGCATAGAGTTGTTGTTTTTATTGATTTCCACTCCGGCTTGGCTTGCAACAACGAGTAATCGTTGTAGAACACCCGACGCTGATGGTTCTTATGTATTATATATATACACTCATTGTATTACGTAATATATCTCTATATCGCTGTAGCGGTTAAAGATATATTGTTGATATTGTTTTTACGCTTACATTGTGAAAGGCAAAAGAGGCAAACAAAAAAGTACCACCTGTACGTTAATTTTATAGAGAAAATCGGAGCGATGAGAATTCAATTTATCGAATTAGGCGGGGAGAGTCGTGGCTTACGTAAGAGTCATTCCGATCCCGTTGTATACAGGTACCGCGGCACCAGTCGCCAACTTACCCATCAAAAGTTGGGTATACTTACGTAAGAGGTTTGTTGTCAACAGCAGCAGTGCAGGTTGACGGAACGAAGAACGAGTTGATTAAAAATCACCGCGGCTCGCCTCCTCTTCCTGCAGCCGCTCTACTGACTCTACCTGCCGCCAACGCTGCCTGTGTATAGTGTGTAAAGAGTTGCCTCGCGAGAGGAAAAAAAAAAAACTGACCCAACAAAAAATGTACTCGCGCTCATTATGCTTTATGGAGTCCACTCCCCCTCATACCTACATATGGTCTAGCTATAAAATGTCGCTTCGCTCGCCGAAGTTTCTCGGAAAGCATTATTATACAAGTTATACTTACAGCCGGTCGATCGAGTGCTTTTGTTCCAGCCAGGAGCTGCTCTGCTCCATGTTGTATTTCTCTGCTTCGCAGTTTTTCCTCGACATCTTGGCTATTGTAGCAAGCAAACAAAAAAGTTCACCCTCCTGCTAAAAATCGCGTGGAAAAAAAAAAAGCAGCCTCGTCGTTCCTCGAAAAAGGTGCACGCACTTTACGTGGAGGGAAAATCGTGTAACGATCATTGTTTAATAATCTCGGCGCTGCTCCCTCGCACGCGCTCACCGCGGAGCATTGTCGCGCCATACGAGCTCGGGAAAATTGCACTTTCCGGAACTGAAACTGCATAAGTAATGCGCTGGCACACGCGCTTGGGTTGCGTGTGCTTTGCAAACTGCTTGGACTATACACACATGATGTATTTTTTTTTTCCCGCCCCCCAGGATATTACGATGCTTTCGTTGTATCGAAACACGCGGAGCACAATGGGTTGTTCGTATAAGTACTCGTATCATCCAAGTTATTCTGCCAAACTAACATCACGAAAGCTATAGCGCGCCAACTTTGAAACGAGCGAGTCCATGTAATACCCGAGGTAATACCGATATATGCGTCATTTCCAATATATTTCCATTAGTCCTCGTTAAAGGGGTGAATTTCAAAGTGACTCTGTACCTGCGAAAGGGCACAAACTGATGAGTCTTAGTTGTATACACAAACGAGCACTCGTCTCTCATCTTCACTCGTAAAATGTATACCTTTAGGTGCCTTTCTCCTCTTGCTCTTGTATCTTCCTTACTTTCTCCGCAGATTCCTGTAAGAGTACGCTGCATATATATAACAACGACTAAAATTAACTTATACGAGCTCCATCGACGTCTAGTGCAGACGTGTGTATATAAAACAGGTGTGGGTGGTACCAATACGGGTGTATACGCTCGATTTCCTTCCTCTTCCGTACCGCCTACCTACGCGTGTCACTTTGGTTGGTATAATATAGTGCAGCAACACATAAGTACATCCTCGCCACATCAGCTCCTTCGTGTCAACGCTCTCTCTCTCTCTCTCTCTTTTATACATAGGTATACATAATATGCTTCCGCATGTATACCTTATTGCACTGAATTTTGCTACAAAAATGTGTACAATACATGGCTTGACTGTGGATGCAGGTGTACGTAATTAATACACCAACTCCTCGCATCATCGAGTGTATATATAATATTTAATTAGCTCGACCGTACGTTTTAATATTTCGAATGCAGCAGGAGCGCCGTTCAGTGGGAATATTTTCTCTCTCTTCCTTTTTTAGGCGCATCCTCCGTTACACCAGTGCTTCTGTGTGTTTATATATATATTTGTTGGTACACGTATATGTATATTTACACGCAGGCAGAGAGAGTTAAAAAAGGGGATAGTAGCATCGTCTCGTGAAAAATATCCTATGTCAACGACGACGACGGGGAGACGGAAATCTCGATCGCTCGGATAAGCACATCAAATCGGCTCTCTTGTCTTTCTATGTACATATATACCTGTTCCTCCGATCATTGATTGGATATTTTCGTAGCGGGAGACGAGCTGCACGGTGAAGCACTTGATTGCGTTGTCTCGAGAGAGGGAGAGCGGCTAATCGATCGACTTGCTTCTCGACGACGTAGTTACCTCGTCATTTATTTTTTTATTTGCTTTAAAATGTACACGGATTCGCGCAAAAATGGCATTGTTTAAAATTTCCGCATACAGCGTACTTATGAATGCAGAGGACGATTTTTCTATCTTGTCCTCTTCGTTCATATAAGTTGATAGGTATCAGCGCGGCATCTCGTGATGGATTACATAGCACGTGTGTTTACAAATACAAAAGCCTGTAATAATAATGGTAATAATCAATACTACCTACTGTTGATACTAACAAGACTATGATTTGTTGTAAATATTACCCATGTAATATGTAGTAACTTGGGTACGCTATGGTATATAAAAAGGAATTATTGCGTAAGGGAAAAAAACATTTTTTTTGTCGCGCAATGCATCGTATAGTTCAATTGAAAAATAATTGAAAAAGAACAAGTTATACATGATGAAGAATCATTCTTACGAATAACGTGGCACTTGTTTTTCAAGGTAACATCTGTAACAACAAAAGTGAAATATCATTTCCACGTGTGAGTATAATATCGCGAGTAATATCGTGTTCACCTCAGCTCGGACGCGAGAAAGTGCTCTCGATCGAAGTTAAACTCGATCTCGTTTTCCCCGCCGTTAGCGCCATTATCTAATTAAACCCGATGATCCGAGGCACCGAGGCTGATCAAAACTAGTTTTCCCGCGGCACGAATTTTCACGATGGCTTGGATTAATGACGAGCCAACCCGAGCCAACCGCAACAGCGGCGTAATCTTTTAATAATCCATCATGAGAGGATAAACTAATATTACAAAATTCTTGTGAATATATGGCCCACTGATGGGCACTGTATAGGTACTCGGGGTAACATTTTAGAATAACATCGTCCGACAAATTTGTTATCTTATTAGGTATAGTATTTACTACTCAGTCCGGTCTAATTTTCTGCTTCACCATTGATTCCACAAACCTGTTGAATAATCTAGATACACAACGCCAAACCGCATGATATATATATATATATATATATTGTACCAACAAATATATATNNNNATATATATATATATATATATGCAGAGAATTAAACAAAAGTGTCTCTTACAGATAACCGGGATCGTGTTCATAGCAGCGGGCGCGACCGTACTCATCATGTACAAGGGCTACAGCAACTTTGTCAACATATGGGTGTTCATGGTACCGGTACTCGTGATCGTCGTCGGCGTCGTTGTGTTCACCACTTCGTTCTTCGGCTGCTGTGGAGCCGTCAAGGAGAACCACTGCATGATCATCACGGTAAGAGTCATCCCTTTAATTTCAATTCCTGTATACGTTTTTTTTTTTTTTTCATTTTTTTTTTTTTCATTATCGTTATCAGCAATGTTTGCGTGGACCAACAATTGATCTTAGTTTCGTGAAATAATAGCTACATACTCAACGATAACAGCGCGCCTTTTTGTGTCTTTCTCTCACTTTTTTTTTTTCCTCGTTCCCCCCTTGACTATCGCAATTAGTCACGCAACCGCAAGATGAGCAATTCTCGTGACAATACGGTCAATTAGCCTTGTCTTTGGAAGAATTTAAACCAACTGCAGTGCATTTAAATCAACGTGTATAATATATGTATACGTATACGGACCGTAAAACTCGGATCGTCCATTGTGTGTAGACTTGAAGTAAAAAAGAAAAAAAAAAAATTACGTAAAATTTGTTGCAGTTCTCGCTACTGCTGCTGTTGATCTTCGCACTGGAAACGGGAGTTGCAATTACTGGTTATATGATGCGCAGCAAGGTCGACTCGATGCTCGAGAGCTGCTTTAACGACACCCTCGCCCAGTACAACACGAGGAAGGATTACCTGCAGTCCTGGGATATCATACAGTATGACGTAAGTTGATCATAAAGGTATATACAAGGTAAAGGGTGTATACAAGGATGTCACAAGAAGGGGGGGGGGAATAGCTAGTGTAGTGTATTACAAAAGTTTTTTTTTTTTATCACTGCTTTGAGGAAAAATTTCAGCCATTTTTGAAAAACACATATATTTTTTCTTGTGAAATTCTTTGTATGATATATGTAACATGTACGGAGTCATCGATTACTCAAACGATAAAGATAAAAAAAGAAGAATAAGTAAAGAACTAAATAAAACCAACAAGCATGGGAGGTTTCACAAGCTTTACACGCGAGACATCGCGATTGCCGGGTGTAGGTCTTTGAAACGTAAACGCGTGCGAGTCGATAAACCGCGCCCACGTTAACATCACCGGCTCGGGCTTATATGCTCATTATACTCGATGGAAGCAGCTGCAACTAGTCCACTGTGTGTAATCCCATTAACCAATGACGATCTCGAACCGATTGATCGTGCGGAGCATCGGCTTGCCAACGCTAATTACTCGTACTTAAACTCGTTGTTTCCCTTATGATTTTTTTTCAGTAAAAAAAAAAAAAAAAAAAAACTTTGAAGCATTTGACAAAATAATGATTGACAAAGGACGCGGTCAATTACACATAATACATTATTCATTCTCAAAGCAACGCGCTCAAATCTCTCGCATCGGTCGACGACACCTTACCACCTTCATCGGAAATTAAAACGTTTTCTGTATCCGGAGAGCTATCATCGCACCTTATGCTTCGCGCTCCGAGGTCCCGCGTAATAAACTCTGCCCACGTGTGCACTCGGACGACAATCAAACAATCAACCGCGAGAGAGTAATATACACATCGCGTGAGGTCGATAACTCCTGTCGCGCTGTCAATTTCTACTGTACCTCTATACTCGCAAAACCCGGCATAATATCTCGCCCTCGTACACCGTTATGGTAATTCAGTCCGCAGGTATAATGGAGACGTGGCCGGGTACAATGCGTCATCGGACGGAACCATGAATAAAGATGTAAGATTAGAGTAAAAGGGGGTCGCGCAGGATCATTGCTAATACGTCCGATGTACACACGCAAGCCAGGGGATACATTATACACATCATGTGGGCACACGGTTCGTGTTGCGAGAGCGAATTCCTGTATTCCTGAGTATAATATGCACGTAATTTTGCGTAATGTTGGGTTATCGAACGATGAAGCGCGTCCAACTGATGCCGAATGTTGGAGTGACCGGTCCGTTTTAGGGCCACTATTTTTTTTCCTTTTTTTTTTTCTTATCGGTCCTTTTCAGGGCCACTATTTTTTAATTGATTCAATGAACTATATGTATTTATATCCTCTGAGAAACATGCGCGAGATCCTAGGAGTGTCAATAAAGGCAAATAACACCTATTTTACATTTATATTAATAAGAATTTATAAGGGAAGGACAAAAAGGCCATTCGTGGGTGACGAGTTTTTTTTTTTTTTTTTTCCTTTCCTCTGTCGTAATGATTAGGTGTTAGTACAGGCATGCAACGATTTAATTATTTTTGACGCTTTGCAGGTAAACGGTGCGCTTATACCGTTTCGTACATATCGAGAGATGATTGGTGTGGGTATAATTAATTTAAGTTACAACAATCATAAATAGTAATAATAGTAATTATAAGTAGTCACGAATCTCGTAGGTATACTTTCCAATGCTGAATATGTATTAAGGTAATGCTAGAGGATTACAGCACACTTTATGTTTCGCAAGACGCTTGTAGCCGTGCATGTGTAGTTGAAAAAACAAACTATGTACCAACATAATACCTATTCGCATTAAAAAATATAGCCACCGCTCGCATGTATATTATCATCGAAGATAAGCTGTAAAGGCCAACGATACTGAACACGTACTTACAGCGTGCAGAAAAATAAAAAATAGGATAGGCACTACCTATGCAAGAAAAAAAAAAAAAGATCGGGCGAGCACGACAGCGAGTGGGGTATATTAGCTATATTGTTTAAGCACAGTGTCAATCAATATCTCACGTTGCCGGACACACTTATACATGTATCCTCACACCCACGTCTGAGAATGTGTACACACGCGTGGGCTATACAGTTATTTTATGACTCGCTATATTTTTCCCATTGCACGTCAGAGTATGTAAGTACAAAACTCGAACCTGCACGACACGTTGGAGTCCAAAATAATAATAATAATAATAACAAGTGTTGCTCCTCCTCTTTCCTCCCATGCCCTTGTGCAAAGTATCTATGTAGACGCTGTGCCTCTTACATGCGTATTTTTCTCCCTACCGTCCCATCCAACCAAATCAATCCGCGATGCACCAACTCTCGTGTACCCACTGAGTCGCGACAATCAATTGAAATAACGCGTCAAAACGTTGTTGCTTTTCAGTACTTGGGATGCACCGAAGTGTTCGAATCCAGGGGGATGCAAACGTGCGAGGAGGCTCTGAAAACGCTAAGGGTAAGTAAAACTGAAAAAGTAGTAGCCGTCTTGTCGGCGATTCAAATGAGGAAAAAAAGAAAAAAGAAATAAGTAACGGCAGCAACAACATCGCGATGATTTTCAGAGCTCGAAGAGAAGGCCGATCCGAGCTGTTCTGCACGTTTCCGGGGATGGGCTCAGGGTGGTCGACGACGAGACGAAGGACCTGATAGTCGACCAGACGATCGAAAAGGTGTCCTTTTGCGCACCGGACCGCAACTGCGAAAAGGGATTCAGCTACATATGCAGGGACGGCACGACCAGGCGATGGATGTGCCACGGCTTCCTGGCCGTCAAAGAGTCCGTAAGTATCAACAGCGGGGTTATACCGTGTCGAAACGTTTGCCTGATGTGTACCNGAGGATGAGGAAAAAAAAAAAAAAAACACACACACACAAGAGCTCAAGATAATAACGCGCGTGTGGTTATGTAAAAGGTAAAGAGTTGAAAGAAAAGATGGAGCGGCTAGATAAGTCGCGGATTCGCGTGTGTCGCTTCGTTCGTCAAGCATCAGGGAAACAGGTACACCAGAGGGGAGATTCTTACCTCCTCCTCCTCCCGCCTGATGCATGTGACAACATTATATTTTAAAGTTCATTCGTATTGCATAAGCGCGTCGAAAACCTATACACGTGTAAAGCACGCGAAAACCCACGTTCTAATGCAAGTTCTCACAATGTATGAAGATAGTTATTCGGTACAAGCAAAGAGCGAGTTCGTGGATTATATATGCATCATACACCTGTGTACAGGTGAGAGAAGCACGCGCGGGAGGAAGAGATCACGGGGGGGGGGGAGATAACAAAAGAATAAGAAGCCGGGAAGAGGAAGAAGATTCATCATCGTCCACTTTAATGTATCTCAAGATCAAGCGCGTGCAGCGGTCAATTTACCATCAAAGGGGGTAGGGAGTGGCGCGTGACTGTACCTGTGTTAACCCAGTGACGCGAGCGTAACGCGATTTAGCGCGTATAATCTGCTTGTTGTAAATATTTCGCGAGAGAGTATCGTGGAGCGGTGCTGGATAATACCTATATGCCGAGGGGGAGAAGCGCGAAAGGAATAATGAAAACGGGTTGGGCGTATATCTAACGTGTGTGGCGGCACTTTGAGTATTACATTCGATCGCTAAGCGCTTGAAAGAAATCTTCCGAGCGAACTTTTTAGCCTCGTTGTTATCCGAAAAAAAAAAAACAAAAAAAAAACAAAAATTGCTTACGTGTGCGCAGTTGGAGTGCTGTGGCGTGCACGGGCCGACCGATTGGCAGCGCGCCGGCTTCATCGGCAATCGTCTGCCCGCGACCTGTTGCAAGGAGCTCCCGATAAACAACCGCACCTGCGAGTTGAACAGCGACCCGGGCCCTTACTCCAGGGGCTGCAAACAGGCCCTTCAGAACACGCTCGAGAAGAACGGACTCATACTGCTCAGCGTTGGAATCGGTGTCGCTCTCGTTCAGGTATTTCATCGTACACATAGTATACTCATGTTCGTTGCTCGTTTTGTAGGTTTCCAATGTGTGTTGTCATACACATTAATGGTCGAAAAAGAATACTTACATAATTGCAAATCGAATGGTTTTTGTTTTCTGTTTCAGCTGCTCGGGGTGATCTTTGCGTGTTGCCTGGCTCGTTCGGTCCGTCGCGAGTACGAGACTGTGTAAGCTGACTGATACGATCTTTCAATAACTTTTTTATGTCGAAAAATTAAGAAAAAAAAAAAACAAAAAAAAAACCATAAAATAATAACCCCTTTTCCTCTCACTTTTTTTATACTTCTATTTGTAACATTACTACCAACAATTTTATAATAAACACGTTTTCGTGTGCACACTTTTTTTTCTACGGGTGTACTTGATCTGTCGTACTGTACAATTAACAAACTTATCTTTCCTTTTTCTACATGAAACGGCTGTTTGTGTGTCATCACCTTTTTCACAGAAATATTTTGTCTGCTGTACATGTACATTAACAACATATATGCATTATATTTATTACATGTGTATATATTATTAAAAGAAAAACTAATTAATCAAATGTATTTTTTAAGGTCAAAACATTTTGCACACACTTTTAAGTTTAAAATATATGTTTTGTGAAGAAAAAAAAAAAAAACACTTTCATGTTTAAGGGTTTAAAATTTTTGATTTGTCACTGTTCGTTTGTGTGGTGAATATCAAAAAGCTTTTGATGTATATGCGAGCCAAAATGAAAATACAAATTGGAGGTGAGAACCACCCAATTTGTGTTTTTTCCTTGATACTTGCGATTAATGTTGTATGCGCCTCAATGTGGCAATGATGGTGATGGGCGAGGACGCTTCAGGGTATGTGGTGTAAACTAAATAGAGTAGTTTTGGCTCACTTGCACACTCATAATACTGTATAACACCAAGGACAAAAGCTCCTATGAGATCTGTGCACAAATTTTTCATTATTTTTTTTTTTTCTAACTTATTTTTTGTTTTTCATTCGTTCATGCACAACGTAACTATAAATTGTAATTTAAAAAATAATTTATTTTATCAATATTTCTTAATCACGTGATTTCACGACTGGCTGTATCAGTAGTATTGCAATTACTACATTTACCAAATAAAAACTGCCAAATCTAATGATAGTAATTACTAACGATGTAAACTAAGTTCAATAACGATATGATGGTGAATAATTTTTTAGAAACACTGCATAAAAATTATTCAAATTATTTTACTCGAGCCCTATAATTCTTAAATAATGACAATTTCACCTTTAATAAATAATCTGCTATAAAACTTCAATAATAAATTCTTTTCCATTATGTACATCTTACCATTGCAAAATTTGTCGTCCGTCGCTTTGTCTAAAACAAAAATCATTGTTTCTTTTTATTTAAAATTTTTTATGTAGATACAAAAGTACACGCATCTGATGTATATTAAATTTATGGCTTATATACGGTATATTTACCCAATCAATATTACACGCATTTATATATATATACTATTGATAACTACTCTTAGTTCTTAAAAATTCGTCCAACATGTTTATCAAACGATTAAGAGAATATTTTATTGTTTTTCAACATTATAAAGTTTACGTAGTTGTTACGGCTATTGAGACAATATTGACTGTGTCAAAAGTCTGAATAACCAAAAAACAAAAGCTTGAGTCGACAGTTTTAGATGTTAAAAAAATCGATAATAATAGTAATTGAAGACTAAGTTTAAATGACTAACTATAGGTACTACCCAAACTTTGTAGGCACACGTGTACTCACTTTGTCAATTATTTTTCTATGTTATACACATTTTTTTATACCAAACTTTATATTAACAATTTGTCAATAGACTGACAATAAGCAACATTATCATTATAATTATTTCTTTTTATAAATAAAAAAAAAAAAAAAAATCA